GAGAGACATCCCAAAACTTAAGGGAATAATCTTATCTGTATGTAATATTAATAACAATAAAAAACAAAAACAAAACCAACATCATCCTACCTAAATGGCACCTCAGCCTTAGATTAGTGGGGCCATAATGAGGCTCAATATGTGAGTCTGGATACAGCACTGAGAAGCAGGCATTGCCAAACACACAATCCTGCATGACTGATGGCAATGAACCGATCATAGTTGACGTGTTGGGACATCTCTTGCAGTTTGACTCATTGACGACACCTTGGTCAATGAAGGGGAAGATGCACCAATGACCACGAGGGATATCGTTCAGTTTCCAGCCCCAGTTGTCGCCTCCCTTCAGAGCCTCAAAGACAGACTCAAATTCCTTCAAGATAATGCTGAAATTGAGCTTCAGGAGTCTCAGTTCCATCCCATACACATCAAACTCATTCCAGTAAGGATTGGCTGGTAAATCCACAGAGAATATGGTAGGCTTCTGGAAGGCTGATCGGAGTGATTTCTCTTTCTGCGAGGCTCTTGTCCTGTCTTCTCCCAACTTCTCGGCAGATGGAGCCAACCGCCTCACCACCGTCTGCACAGCATCACGTACTCTAAGTGATGTGGACTCCTGAGTCTTGGAGTCTAATGCTCTCCATTTCTCTGCAATTTGCTGTTCAAGCTCCTTGTATTTACAGCAACGGACACAGCTGGAGTTCCTGCAGGACTGTGACTCCGAGTGGTCTGGGGTCGGAAACAGGTAGAACACTTTCCTCAGGATCTCCAAGACGGCGATTTTCAAAGGCACTTTATTCTCCTTTTTGTAAAAGATAACAAGAATCAGAGCAGCAAATATCATGCCCAGCGCCATAGAGGGCACGAGGGGCAGGGCGGGATCGGGAAGTCCACCCAGGAAGGCGGAACAGCATTCTCGCATGCCCATGGCGACTACTTGGCAATTGCAGCAATTTAACACTAGCTAAATGGCCCTCGACGAGGACGAGCAGACCATCAGCCTCTTGAATCACCAATAAAATCGTTACACTTGACAGCTACATGTTTTCGTCTGCTCCTGTGCCTGAATGGCTTCCGATGCGGCTGTTAGTTGACTTGAGTGCCATTAAAAGTGTAAAGGATCTCTGGATAAGGAATCCAATGGCCTTCCGGTTTCGTGGCGCTTATAGTGTAAACAAATGGAGATTAGGGACGGCGGGTCTAAAATCATTTAGATTACTTTTACAAAATCACAAATGTATGGATATTAGATACTTAATGCGTTATTTAGGTATTTAGCATTAATCAACTAATATTTTTTTACGGCTTTAATGAACACACTTAAAACATATTTATATAATCGTATAGGAAAAAAATAAGCCACTAAAATTAAAGCAGCAAAGGGTAAAGTCATTATTTTTTTCATATTAATACTATAAGAAATACAATAATGAATAAAACGAAATAAAGAATTTAGCCCCGCAGTCGCCGGCATGCCACAGACAATAAACAAATAATCTTGAACGTCTCCGCCTGTCTCCAGAAGGAACCTCTCGAAATACCTCGAAAAAAACGAAGAAATGGTGAAACAAGTGTTGTAATTGGTGAAGAGAAGAAAACTGCAACATAATCGGACCAATCGTGTGAGGCGCCATGTCGAATAAGGTGAAAATAGTGATGGTTGGGCCACCCGAGGTACGAGTCCATTTCTGTTTCGTATTTTTCTTCTATATTTAATCAGCAGCTTTCATAGTTTTATTACGCTATGCCAGGGAGGTGGTAGCAGAGTTGGGCAATAACATATACTTTAGGTAATAGAACAGTATCTAACAAAAAAAGCTTTTCTGTGGAAATATTTGTGCAAAACCCTCCCTGAGGTGTCATGACCCAAAATTCTGTCAGAAAAATGAAGGCAACGAAATATAATTTTTCCATGTGTGATCAACATTGGCATTACACACAAAAAATGTCCTTTGCACAATGAATAATACCCAAATTTGCATTAGTAGATTTTTTTTTTTGTAAAATATCAAATTAATTTCAAATGCGAACTTCTACCCCTTTATTCGTGTAGATTATTTTAAAAATTCATCAATTCTGCTATGTGTGGATGCTTCATGATGTCATGGTTTTAGCGACTATACTGGACCCTGTAGGTGGGTAGGGCATAAGGTATCCTGGGAATAAGGGAGGTCAGATTATGTGGTATTTATGCATTTTTGGCTGTGCTGTGCCCTCATAACTCCTTATATGGGATTTTAGAGTGCAGCCTAATTGTTGAGTGTATTTAGTGAGTGATGGCATTGCTTGGGTGAGGTGGAGGCTCTGTGAGGTAAATTTCTTGTGCCACATTCTCAGTCTAGGTGTGTTGAGTACACTGTAAAATCAGCCAATTTTGGAGTTTCTGAACAATGTGATTCTAATGGGCATCAATGGATTAGGAAGGAAAATTTTGTAGAAAGGTTTTGACCTATTATCTATAATACATTTACTTTAATTTCATGTTTTTAAACCCAAACAGCTAACTTATGTTGTTCGCTCTACAGAATTTCTGCAAGTAAAAGAAAGAAGAGAATAATTAATAAATATTTCAAACCTTCAGTTTCTGCAGAATGATTTCTGTAACTAATAGTGTTGTTGTATCTGATCATTAACCCAATGGCGCCGGGTGTACAACACATAAAAAAAACTCTACGCTCTTGCAAACAAAGGCGGCGCGCTGACTTTGAGCGCATGAGTAGGGGACATCAGCATGAATCACTGGCTCGTTGCGCTTTGGCGCGCCGCCGCGGTGTACAGCCGCACGCCAGCTTTCGAGTGGTTTGTTTTCATGCCGATCGGCGTCACCCGGCGTTAAGGGTTAAGGGCATCATCTCATTTTTTTCACTCTTTTTGTGGTCCATGTTTCACATCCACCCTCACTGTCTCTTCCTCTCATTTTCTCTCTCCCTCCCTCCCTTTCTTCAGAGGTTGTTAAAACAAATTATATACAATTGGGAAAAAAGTATTAACATTTTGTGACTAACTAAAAACTTAGATGTCCATCACTTGTTTTTTATTCTCCTTTTCAGTGTGGGAAAACAACACTCACAAACTTTCTAAGTGAGGCTGGAGAAGTGGGAAGTGGAGAGTACAGACCCACCAAAGGCTGCAGGATTCTGGAATTTGAAGTGCCCAATATAAACTACAACAACACTGCAGCCAGTGTTGAGGTTGAGCTGTGGGATGTCAGTGGTGATAGGACGTAAGAATGGGTTTTTTCTTGTTATGTGTTATGTGTATCTATACTCCTGATTTCTTATTCTAAATGTTCTCACTTTTAGCAAGTGGTCTGCTGATCAGAGTTATAAAGCAGTTAAAAAAATTAATAATTCTAGTTAGTTGGCTCTATATATGTTTTGTTTCATATTTTGTTGTACTTATTTTTAGTCTTATTTGTAAGAAAAAAATATTTTCCGATGATTTTTTATAATATCTGTGATAATACTTGCTTCAGTGTGTGCTGGAAAATTTATTAGTGTAGCAGATGTGAATATAATCATTTATAACCTGTCTTTTACATATAAAATGAAGTGAGTGACTAATGTATATCAGAATTTGCTAGAACATACAGGAAATGACTGCCCAGTAAACACATTGCCAACATTTTAAGAGCCCTCATTTCAATTTCTTTCTTGCCTTAGCTATGAGACTTGTTGGCCTGTCATTCAGCAAGGAGCACAGGGCATTATCTTTGTGTACAGCCCAGGGCGAGAGGAACACGCAAGGGTCCTTGATAACTTGTACACGCACTTTGCTGAACAACAGGGCATAAGTGAAGCTCAGTGCGTTGTGTTCTGCCACTACAAACCAGGAGCCAAGGGGAAAGGGGCAAAACTTTGTGAGTGATCAGCATTTTGTTTTTGTTAGTCTCTTTCTAATAGAAAAATCTGTTGTGATATTCTGTTTTTGTAGGTAGGAATAATATTTATTTATTTATTTTTTTTGATGTGTCTTAATGTGGTAGGGATGATACATATACTCATCATTGAGTTTTGGTCAGTATAGACCATTCTTTTTATTGTCCACTATCTACTTGGGACCTAGTCAGCCTAACTTTTAAACTATATCACAATAGTTTCTTTTCTTTAGATTTGTATTATATGATTTTAATTTGATATAGACAATAGATAATCCAAATCATGTTATTGATCTATCATGTGAAAAGTTCTGCTGTATTTAATCAACTTCAAATTTTTATTTGATAATTGATTTGATTTCTTTCATCAGGTCAAACTTTGTATACATTGTTGTCTCACTGCTATTAAATTCATATGTAAACTTCTACTTTTATATATCTAATCTTTATTGTTTGGAGAGGAAGGATATCTTTTTTTGTATTTTTTTCTGATTCAGATGATGATAATAATTTTGATAGTACAAAACTCCCATTTCTATTTCAGCAACTCCCTTCAACAAGATCTCCAAAATGGACACGCACTTGGATGACGATAGTGGAAGTGTGAAGAGGGATTTTAATGACTTCATTGCATCTGTCATGAGTCACATGTCTGATGTTGTTGAGCGTCAAGAGAACTTTATATTGCAGTGAACCTAAATGAATTCATGCAATGATATAAAAATGTTATTAGCTCACATGAACTTATCAGCATGGAGTGGGCTCACACTCAAGCATAGACATAAATTTACACATGAAGATATACACATGTCTTGTGTGCACTGACACTTTTTTTGTGATACCCTTGCTGTTATTCATGTATTTGCAAAAAAAATTGAATCAGTGATGTTTCTGTACACTTAATACCTTCTAGTCACTTAATATATATTTATGCCGTCCATAATAAATTATATATTAAGAATCTTATTTTTATATATGTATGATACCTGCAAGTTGAATTATAATTGTTTAGAATAGAAATATGTTCTAACAATTATAATTCAAGATTAATAGGAAAGATTGAAAACTTATCCATCTGAAATGAAGGCATGAATTTAAAGAAATCTCAAATGAGGGGAACTTCAAGTTACCTAAGTACTGCAGCTCATGCTACAGTTTTAATAACCTTGACTTGTTAAACTGCAACTATCCTGATTTTAGTTTATAGAAAGAGAGCTGACCTAACTCTAAATGGGTGGCTTGGGGGAGTTGTGCCTTACCAGGCCTCCTCCCCCCAGATAACTCACCAGCAGCACCTTCCATAAATGGATGTGCTGGGGTAAGGGGTGTTGTTCTTCCCACCCAGCAGGCAAGGTGGGCTGTGGGATCCATTGGGAGGGAAAATTTTGGGGCACAGGATGGGAACGAGAGTTAATCATCCTACCTGCAGCCTGGCAGGTGCCAACCCAGTATGAGGCCTGTGGGGCAAAGCCCAAGGGAACCCTGCCTTGGTCCTCAGCCCTCGCCTCAACTAATTTTGCATAGTCTTTTCTTTTCCCCCTTTCCTTTCTTTCTCTTCTTCATCATCCCCTTCTGTCCACTTCCTAAGGTGTGAGATCTGTGCTGAAAGGATGAATGGCTGGCTTTGTGTCAATCATGAACGGCCTCTAGGAGCCATGGGCACGGTATTAATTGTTTAGCCCTTACCTCTCAGGGAACCTGAGGGGTAGATCGTTTCCTCTCCTCATTTATTTCAGGCTCAGCATGGCCAATAATGAAGATGAGAGATTTACATATAAAGTTTTCAAGAAGCGATCTCGAGGGAGAGAGATTTGGCGCGCTTCTGCTGCCCCTCCTGCCCCCTCCTCCCCCTCCCTACCCCTTTCCTTCCCTTCCTCCCTCCCCTTTTCCTTCCCTACATCCCTGGTCACCCCCAGGGATGAAGGCCCGGGTCCTTCTCTCCCCACCCATGTAGTCTCTCCCCATCTCTCTCTCTTGCCTCCCCACCTTTCTCCCATCCTCCTTGCTGCCCCTACCTCCCCACCCTTCGCACACCCTCTCCTCCCCTTCTCCCCCCAGCACCTCTCACCCTCTCTCCCCACCTCCCCTCCCTCCCCACCTCCCCCCTCCCCTCCCCTCCTCCTCCCCGCCTGCACCTCTCACCCTCTCTCCCTCCCTCCCTCCTCCCCTCCCCTCCCCCCCAATCCCTTGCCCGTTGTTGTCGTGGGGGGGCTTAGGAGGCGGAGACTGGGACCCAATGATGGGGAACTCCCCAACCTTGGGACTCAGCCCTCGACTCAACTAATTATGCATGGTCTTTTTTTTCCCTTCCCACTTTTGTTTCTGTCCCTTCACCAAACCCTTCTGCTATGCACCTCCTAAGGTGTGATAGCCGTGCTGAAAGGATGAAAGGCTGACTTTGTGCCAGTCCTGAATGGCCTAAGGGAGCCATGGGCACGGTATTCCCCTGATTTAGTTATCTAGCCCTTACCCCTCAAGGGGACCCTGAGGGGTGGACTGTTTTTATCCCCAACATAATCCAGGCTTGCCATGGCCAGTAATGAAAATATATCCCCACTGTTAGGGGCAATGAGGCTTGCCCCTTTATCAAATAGCCCCAACGAAGTAAACCCACCCGATTCCCCGACCCCAGGCTCTCCTTTGACCACGGCTC